GCCTGTGCGAGCTCTGCACGTGCGGGTGAGTGCGCGGCCCGGCGCGGCGGAAGGGCCGGGATTCCCACCAAGGGGAAAAAAGTGTTTGAGGAAACGCCCGGGAATGGCCACGGGGGCCTCGCGGGAGCTCTGGCGCCGCCGAGTGCTCCCCGACCGCGGGCGCGCAGCAAGGTCTGGGAGCGCGGAGGGGCCGCCGAGGGCTCGTACTCACAGCAGTGAAGTCAAAATTCCAGGTTGAAGGTTAAACTCAAGGTTAAAATCCCCAAAGTGGATATATTTCAGGACCAAGAAGCTAGAGGCACCTTCCCTAGGCACTCCTGTAGAGCCAGGCAAACTCCTTCCCCCCGCTTCCACACGGGACATGAGCCGCCCTTCTCATCCGCGGCCACAGATTATGGCTGTAGTTTGCCCCACAGCTTTACTTCAAAGGGCCTAGATGGATCAAGAGTGAGAACACCTTTTTTCATGATTAAATATCAGAGACAACTTAGGCTCAAGTACAGAGATGGTGAGATAGGACAGTCTGACAGCAGAAAGCTAACTCCAACCCAGCTCAATGCCAGCTTAAATACTGGGGTTTATAGTATTAATTATTGAATAAACCAGAAAGCACAGCTTAAAATAAGCATAGAGGGTTCTGCAGGAAACAAAATCTTAAGAAGTTATTTAAACAGCATATTGTGTTTGCTTTGGTGTAGCTATAGTGTTTCTGTGTTTAGAGGAATAGCACTTCTGTTATTGCTTTCATAAAAAATCTAGATTCCTGAATTAATGAAAGCTAAAAGAAAGAGGAAGATTTATCTGAAATATAGGTTGTTTAAGTTTCCATACTGACCACACCAGAAAAATCATGCAAACCTGTATAAAATACTGTCTTCTATAAGCACAAGAGTGGATGTCAGAGAAGGAGTGAAGCAGGGTACTTATTCTTAGAAATAATAGAGTAATGATGTAATGAAAGATTTAAAAAAGAAAAAGGAAAGTGTATCTTGTTGGCAGCCTTGCTTAGAAGACTGAGATGAACTCTATCCATTCTGCGTATTCTGCACTAAGGTACAGTGATACTGAGTGCTGCTCTGTTAGGGTGCTGTGCTCTGGGACCCGTGACAGCACAGTATTTTGCATTTTCCTTTACCGCTCAGTAAAGATTTTAGTCTCAGGCTACTCAATGTTTGCTCTTCCTCACTTGTTATTTGCTCCCAGATCGGACGTTTTCCTCTTTAATTAAACTATTGAAAATAATCCCATCTGATGTGTTTTACCCAGGCGCCATCGCTGCCCTCATAAACCCACAAGGATTTACGATGCTGGACAGCAGCCATACCTCACAACGGAGTATGTGGAAAAATATCCCAAGTACAGCAACATCTCTCCTCCCCAGAGCCTTAAGCCAAAGGAAGTGTATCAAGCACATCGTGGCAAAATGGAAGGAATCACTACATTTAAGTAAACATTTTTAGGCAATATGTTTTACAGCTACTTTGTATTTTAAAGTTTCTCATATTTTTGATTTAAGGGGAACTGGACATCCTATTGCATTCATTTTCAAAATGCAATCATGCTATCTTTTGCTCTCCTGAAGTATTTTAAAGTACTACTAATGAGTGTAAAAATAGTTACCTCAAAAATGTCATCAAAGGTAGTGAAGTAAACACACAAAAAATTGTTTTCCTTACAGCGTACTTTAATCTGTAAAGATATTTTTATTCTAAATATTCTAAATGATTAGGACTGTGAGAAAGCCCAATGCAAGTAGGTCTGGCCCTTCAGTTATCATGACATCTAATTGACTTTTCAGCAGAAACGTTTTATTTTTTTTCTTTTTCATATAATAGAAAAATTTAAAAAGTGATTCTATTGGAAAAAGAAGTTTTTAACCAGTGGTTGCCTTTCCACCCATTCAGATCTGATTATTTACCATATGATATTGTGAAGCGACCATTTCGGGTACCAGAACAATATAAACCACAGACCGGAGAGATACAACTGGGAACAACATATCAGAAGGATTATAATGCTCATAAAATACAACCAGCAACGTTGGTAAGACCATTAGAGAGGAAACACACTACAGGAGGAAAATTGGATACCATACCAACCTATCAAGGTAATAACATCTGCCTTCTTTAGAAGGACAAGGTCATATCCTGAATCTCCTGCATTCAAGATACGAAACTGAATTTCTTACTTTGCACCAGAGAGATGAGTAGAAAGCAGGTGAAAGCTTTTAGATGTTCAGCACTCCAGCAGTTTTAAAGTTGATATTTATACGTTTCTATAGGAGAAGCCTTCTCCAGGTTTCCTTGGCTAGAAGGAGAGAAACTCTAATGTACATTTATTAGGGTATCTCATACACAAATTGTGCCAGGTGAGGAGGAGTGAGGAAATCCTAGAGGTTGTAATTACACCTCCAAATATACTGCCCAGATAGCTTTAGAAAAAAATCGATTATGTAAGAAGTTGGAGTGATCAGTGTGAAAGTACCTCCTCTATTCTGTGGTCTGGGCAAACTTCACCTGCTACTGCAATTACCCATAGCGTAGGTCAAAAGCCTGTGCTGCGTAGCTTGTATATGCTCCCATTAATATTGTATTACAATATGTACAAAGGAACTACTTCTAAGTTCTTTTCACAAGTGACCATGGTATATATTTATACATGTATACAATTTTCTACAATTTTTAAACTGAATTTTTTACATATACCCCAACCTCCAGTTACAAGTATATAAATGTAGATCATTAGTAGGTAATATATATGATCTACATGTATGTATCTATATCTACATGTAGATGTATATTGATTTTTTTTTATCCTGGCATCTCCAGTAGGTAATATATGAGATGCCAGGATAAAAAAAAAATCAGTATACATCTGATTATGAGAACCAATGGTATTAAAAAAGATTGTGGTGAGTTATCAAGAACCAGATATAGCCATTAAAACAGGAAGTTAGACTCCTTAGTGTGATGCAAGCAGAGGAGGGATTGCTGCAACAGAAACAGAAGGATAGAATTTGAGAAAAAAGGGACTTATAATTTACCAGCTTGTATATGATTATGCCTATGTATGTGCATTTAATAAATATTTTGTCTATTACTTCTAAAAGATATTTATAAAGATGGATAATCTATTTAGCCTACATACATTTAAGTACAAAGAAGTTATAAAATAATGTCTAATTTAGTCTATTCTCAGTATGAAATTAGTCATGAAACTGCTTTATTCAAGAGGTGCCTATCTGATCAAAAGGGAGTTAGTATCGAGTGAAAATCTGCTGAAACTAAACTACAGTGATTGCAAAAAAGCAAACTGGCATTAACTCCCTGTGAAGAATTTTAGGCTGGATACTGAAAGTTTCTAAAAGAACAGTCTCTTTAAAAAATAAAATCAAATAGGGGAAAAAAAAAAGAGGCAAAGCAAAAAAAAAAATCCTAACTAGCTTTTGCACTGCTGATAAGAAGAAAATGAGAGGTAGTTGTCCCTCCCAGCAGTGAATATGGGCCAAGTTCCCTTGGGTCCTATATAACTGCCATATATTTCTAGGTAAAATATAAGGTATTCTATCTATACCTGTATGCAGTAATTTTGTGTATAAACACACATTTAATCTTGACATGAACATTTTTTTTTTCCTCAAAGAAACAGGCGTAGCTGGAAATTAAGTAGAATTTTCTGCCTGTTCTATTCCAGTAACAGCAGAAAGATATATTTGCCATGTTACAAACATGCAGATAACATTACCATTCTCATTTATATCCATTTTGTTTGGATTGGGAGAGTTAATAACAGAAAAAGGAGGACTTAATTTTAAAAGAACACTCAAGAGTTATAGAGCTCTATACTAAATATATATATATGTATTTATATATTTTTTGTCTTAAAGATGACTATAGGCTGTGGGGAGTTCAAAGAAGGGAACCTAATAAGGTGGACCACACATACCATCCACCTACAGAGAAGTTTGGAAATTCTACTACATTCCAGGATGACTTTGTTCCTAGGGAATTGAATCCCAGGAAAAGTTTTAAACCTCTTTGTGTGCCCAAGCTTTCTGATGTACCTTTTGATGGTACTACTAGCCATCGCACTTCTTATACTGCTCATCAATTGGAACCAAAATTCGTAAGATCAAAAGAAGAATACAGGCCAAGCAACAAACCCTTTGAAGACCTCACCACACACCGGAATGATTTTAAAGGGCTACCTGGGCAACTTGCAAAAAGCTGCAGGCCTGAAAACACTAAAGTTGAGTCAAATGCTCATTTTAATGGGCTCACTGAATTCCAGGATCGTTTTCAGCCATGGTCAGTCTCCTTGCCCGAGGTCCGCAAAACAAAAGAATACCTTCCACCCCCAGGTAACATGGATTTCCACTCCACAAGCCATCTTGATTATGTTAAACATGACATTTCCCCGGTTGTCCCCATAAGACCAGTTTCTAATGGAAGAAGAATCAACGCTCCTTTCCAAGGGAATACTACCACAAAAGATGACTTTCAAGCTTGGGACAGCTGTCGGCAAGAAATTATTAAAAAACATGAGGAAATTCCAAAACCCACAGGAAAATTCGATGATTTAACTACATTCAAATCTCATTACACACCACATCAGATAATTCCAGCTCAAAGTTTCAAGCCTTTACATGTTGTACTTCCTAATTCAGCTCCTTTTGAAGATGAAACTATGTACCGCACAGAATATACACTAAAGAAACAAGAGATGTGCCCAGCAAATTATCCATCTCCTCCAGGATACATCTATGTAAACACAGATTCTCATGGTCACAAATTCTTCCGCCAGCTTACTCCAGAAATTTCTAAATCAAGTGGTAATCATGTTCCAAAGGAAATAGCTGTTGTGTCATAATATTCAAAAGTTTTATTTCAAGCAGATTTTGCTACTAGTTCATTTTTTCCTTAGATAAAACTGTCAGCAAATCAAATAATGCTCATTTTGATTTAAAAAATATTAAAACTAATAGTTTAAAGAAAATCAAAACAATCAGTGAAGTTTATTACAAAACTAACAAAGATTAGCTAATTTTTGTAGGAATAAGAAGTCCTCTGGATTTCCTGGACTTCCCAGTTTTATTATGTTCCAGCTCAGATAGGTACATGGTTGTTTTTTCCCAAAATTTTTAGCAAATCAAATTATTTGTAGAATAGCAAAAATATAACTTAAATACATTTTGATCATAGCGCCTTTTTCATAGTAGAGCAAAAAACCATAACTAATTCACTCCTAGAACCTTCCATCTCAGCAATACTTTGAATGATCTGATTATTTTTTTTCTTGAGGTTTTGTTATCCAAATCCAGTATTATAAGATAGCATCCTATGAAACCTAGACATTTCTAAAAATTTTATTTTTTTTTATTATTTTTCATTAATTTGAAAAGTGTGTGAAGTAACTTTGTTCTTTTTTCTTTACACATATTTGAAATCATGCAGACATAAAGCAGGTCATTAGACTTTGTTCTCTGATTTCCCTGACAGAGCATTTTTAGCCTGACTTCCAATGAAAACAAAGCTGATAAAAACACTAAGTATAGATGTCTCCTCATCAGCTCAGTGTGTGCTTAATCAAATTCCACAAACAGATTGCACAGATAATTGGTTTTCAGATTTTCTGATGCAGATGGTGAAGAAGACAGAGTGCAGCTCAAGAATTGATGCCAGTTCACAGTAGCTTTCAATCCTGCTATCTGATTTCTAAAGCTGAGTAGCCTTGCGCCATTGCCAAAGTTCACTGCAAAGGCTGAAGGATGAAATAGCAGGAAAACTATAAAGGTATATGCTGAGATAACAGAAAAGCTTAGTGGAACTCTGTTAAAAGAAATATCAAAGCAGTCACACAAATCTCTACACAGTCAGGATTCAGGCTGCCTGCTCTTCAAAGATTTGTTACAAATACACAGAGAACAAATTATTTATAGAAATTGTACATGCAGGAATTATGCTTCCATATGAGAGGTTAAGTATTGTCTCCATGCATCTTTTATGTTAATTTTCGTAAATCTACATAAACTGTTGCATTATGTTCATGATTTAATTCAGTCTTTACAAATAGTCCAGTGATTAACACTCTTATCATGTTTTATCTCTGCAGTACAGTATGACTTTTTTTTTGTATTGCATATCTGGTACTCATTGCTATAGGAGAATCAGTTGGGTTCTGAAGAACTGTGTGCTGATACATCATAAACTAAATCACCAATAAAAGGACTAAGATCAGTAGTGGACAACTGGTGAAAGCGGGAAGCAATGCAAT